CCTGTTTCATGACATTTTCATTAATCTCGATTTACTTTATTAACTTTTTACATGAATCTATTTCATTAATCTCAATTTACTTTATTAACTATTTTACATGAATCTATTCCATTATGCACCCATTTCATGATCCGTATATTTCAAAAAGAACAAAACCAATTATGCAACCGTTTCATGACATTTTCACATTTGAACGCAACAACTTCAGATACATTTTTACATGGATCTCCATGAAAGTACTGCATTAATCTCGAATTTGTTAAGAAAATGAAAACGTTTCATGAAAATGAATCTATTTCATTAATTATTTTGCAATGAAATCCTTTCACCTTCTCCTATTAAAAAAATAGTGCACAATGGGCTGTTAGGGTGATACATCTTTCTTTGGTTTTCTGTCCGAGTTTTCCTATTTTGTAAGCTTGCATACACTATCATAGTTTCACATGAACAAGATACCCAGATGATTCATTCCATTGTAATTTATTAAAAATAAAGATTTCAATAATATATTATAATAAAAGTTTAAAACATTACCATTTTTCATACTTTCTTCTAATAAATTTGCCTTAAATAAAATATATTACTAACTTCCTTAATTATCAAAAATTTGTGTAAAATGACATAAATAACCTTATCAATTAAATTTAATTAAAAATAAATGAAATTTTCTTATTGGTCGAAATTGGTTCACACGGTTTTTAAGAATTGGATGGTTCGCATTTGAACCTGCCCCTATATATATATATATATATATATATATATGGTTGGGGTCACGTGAGACAAAAAGTTTTTCGTGAGACCCGTAAGACCAATTTATGTTCATTGATCAACTTTATAAGCTAATGATCTAACGGTCTAAAATTGAACGGTGGCAATTTTGTGATTATTGAAAAGTCTCGTGGCGTTTATGAATGTTCAGATTGTCATGTTATAGATCTAATCCAAGGGTTGAGAATTGGTCTTACAGGTCTCACGAAAAATCATTGGTCTCACATGATCCCAAGTCTATATATATATATATATATACATATATATATGTGGTATATTCCAAATGCAACCATATCTATTTGTATAACCAATCAACTGATATATTTATGGAAATAATGAGAGTTCATTTATTATGATTTGAATATTTATGAAAGATGACTAAAGTTCATTAATTATGATCAATATCTTATATTAGAAAACAATCAAAACTTTTATAAAATTACATATTTATCAAATAATATGGACGTTTAAGATTGAGTTATATTGATTGTATAAATGTAAATGGTTGCATAATAACTCATTTCTTTCTCTATATATATCTAACATGTTTGATTCGATAGATTAATTAATACATAATATATATATATATATACATAATATATATATATATATATATATATATTCATTTTAATAAAACTGAAAATTTGTGAATAAAAATTAATATTACGAACTTTATAACTGTGACAAATAAATGAAGAAATATCCTAAAAATAAGTAATTATGGCTTTAAGATTCGTGAAGAACAAATATTGCGATTATTAAATTAGAAATCATTACAACTTTTTATTGGATAAAAATATAGAGAGAGATTAAATGAGAAAAATATCAATTTGTAAGAAAACGAGAAGTTTTAAATCATATTTAAGGGGTTGTTTGGCAGTTGCTGAATGGTTTGGTGCATAATGATTAAGTGGTCAGAATAATTAAAAGACTCTTATGATATAATGCAAAATGAAATTAGGGCGTTGAATGATTAAGGGAGTCATAAGATACAAAATCATTCATAGGGATTTAGAACCATTAAGAGACCGATTTTTCTTTTGTCAAACAAGATTCACATCTTAATGAAACTATTAAGAGATAAATAAACAACTCCTTAATCACATATGATATAAAACACGTAACAATATGGGATACGAACATGCTGGACTGATCGGCAATAGAGCGGATGATCTCAAGAATACAAATAAAAACAAACTATTGATGCAGTGGTTGTCGTCATATCCATAGAAGTCAGTTTAAGGATAAAAAAAAAAGTCGAATACGTTAATGGCAATGGATCATGGGTCAGATATGGTTAACCTTGTATTGGGTAAAGAAGATCGATGATGCAAAGAAGTTCAATAAATTGCATTTCTACCACAGATGTTTACATATATTTCAAATTGGCCACCAGAAAATGAAAATGATAACATTCTAGTTCAAAGAACATCTATAACATATGTTTATTTTTTTTTACAAATATGGAGATTTCTCCATTTCTCTCTCTCTATTTTATAGAAGAATTTAGCACCGTTTTTGTAGCATACTGTTCTCATTTCTCCAAATTTTCTAAAATAAGATAGTTGTTGAAGATGTCTTAGTTTCTAATAACTATATGAAATCAAAGCTCAAATTGAAATAAATGGTGGAGGGTCACTTCCCATGTACGAGCAAGTTTCAGGTCGAGAACTTTTTGCCGGTTTCAAGATGACAACAATTTTCAAATCCAAATAATATAACAAATCTATTGATTGTTGCGAACGAACCTTTTGTTTATGAAGAGAAGCCCAATTGCATGAGCCACCAAACTAGGCCCGATTACGATTTTTTCTCGAAATTCAAGGCATGGATCAGCCTGGTATGGGACTGATTGAGATCGGTTACGTCAAGGGATCTCATTTTTTTGTAAGATTTATAAATTAAAAAGGGGAAATTGCATCAAAATGGAACCAACTTTCACCTGATTCTTATTTTGGTGAACCGACTTTCAAAATTGTCATTTTGGGGAACCAACTTACACCTGATTCTTATTTTGGAGAGCCAACTTACAAAATAATTATAGAAAAATAACTAAAATTTGTTTTTTTTTCAAAAATTAATTATTATACAAATAATACATCTTGTGATTTAAAATAAAAGTTATAAATAATGAAAAAAACTATACAGATTTTGGCTTCTACTTAATTTATTATTTCTACATAATATAAATCAATTTTTATTGTGTTATTGGAGTTTTAAGGATTCCACAAATGATGTATAAAATACGATAAGTAGTTAAGGTTAAATCTCACGATTTTGTTGTAAAACAATTTAGAGGACTGAATGTTGTAATTTATCCATCTTAAAATAAGTATTTACAATAAAAATAATGTATAATTTTAAATATGAGTAGTTATTACAGTTTTTAGTAGGAGCCTACAGAAAGAAAGTCAACCAACCGACCGATTCAATTAAAACCGAAACGACCAATATCTAACTACCCATTCGGTTATTCATCCTCAGATTATTCAACTATCGTCCAGTTAATTTGCTCTGAGTTAGCGTAAATTAGAATTTTATCTGCGTTGGTTTTAACAAATGATTAAACAATTTGTTTCATTATTAGCCTTACCCTATGCTGACACGTGGTACATCCACAATTATTGTAGATGTTACATTGCAGATATAAGGTCTTGGCACCAAGTATTACGGATCGGGCATTACGATAGTGGTTGCGCACCTGTGTTATTCAAAGAAAAATAGAGTTTTTGGGTAAAAAGCCCAAAATTTTGTCGTCTAGTGATATATTATCAACTTTTAAATATTCATGTGGTTAATTTGAAAATTTTATTTATGTATAAATAAACACTTATTTTTTAAATAAATAAAAATAGAAATGTATATAATTATTTTAGAGAAGGAATATATAAAAAATACATCTTTGTGTTCATACAAAAAAAAAGATGAGCGGCTATTATGTCAATTTTCGGAATAATATTATAAAAACTGAAGGCAGTTTACTGAATACTTACCTAGTAAGTGTGAATCGAGTAATTTTTCTCACCTGATGTATATGGCAAGAGCTGAAAATCTTACCCGGTAAAAGCGATGATAGGGATAGAGAGTCTTACCCGATAAGTGATGATGATGACTCTTACCCGATAAGTGATGATGATGACTCTTACCTGGGTAAGCTTTTACTGGGTAAATTGTTACATACGATACCGTTTTAATATACTACAATCTTATCTGGTAAAATAGATTATAGTATTGACTCCTGGGTAAATATTTGGGTAAACGGCCCCTAAATATCATTAGAAATAATAATTTTAGAGTAAACTTTGGTTTTAGTCCCTGAACTATGTTAGTTTGATGAAAAATGGCTGTAATTTTTATTTATTCTTTAATTATCTTTGATGTTTTCAAAATCGTTCGGTTTTCTTCCCTCCTACTAACCGATGTTAGTTTTTTCTTGCTAACTTTGGTTAACATATGAGTATTTTAGTCATTTTACATATTGATAACCCACAACGCACATATCATATTCATCTTTGCGGGCGAACTCCTTCCCCCGTTTTTCCGCAGACCCCATTCACCATTTCTCCAACTACCACCGAGAAGAATACCAAATCATTTCATTAATTTTCTCCTTCCACACCTCCGACCACCAAATGTCACTCAATACTTGCAACATACCACCGAATCTGGAGAAATGTGATCAGTGGGATGTGGGGGTAAAGCAGAGCCGAGATAACTGTCAACGGTGAGGATGGAGTTAGTGTGGGATGTGATATCGAGAGAAAGGAGAGCTGCCCTTTTTCCAATTCTTTTTTGCATTTTATAATAAAATGATAACATTTTTTATTTTAACAGAAAAAACTAACGATTGCTTGACAGAAGAAATCAATATTAATGTTAAAAATGGAATGCAATGCAATGTCCACATCTTCCTCTTGGTAATCATGATAAGTTTTTAAAAAGTAATAACATTCCGAAATCCTGAAAGAAAACCGAATCTCGAAGAAAAATGGCTTCAAATTCGATGATTGTATGTGTGGGTTTATGTGTCCGCAACCTCACATGGCCATGAAATGCAAGCTGGTACCCCATTCTCAAGACCATCTTCCCTTCCTTCAATTCTCCCCTCCCAATATTCATATATACATACACATTTATATGTATCTATATATCAACAGCATGCTCCATTAACTAACATCTTCATGATGAAAACCTCTACCTCCTTCTTCTTCTTCTTCTTCTTCAACACTGTGATGTTTATCGTCTTGTTACTACTACTGCTGCTGCTGCTCCCTGTGCCACCCACAGAAGCTAAGTGGATGCCACCAGCTGTTGCAGTCAGTAGCCATGGCTGCCCACCGGAAAGATGCGGCACCTTTGGTTCCATTCCCTACCCTTTTCGCCTGACCAACAATTCCGATTGCGGCGAGCTGCTTTCAGATGTTTTCCATCTCTCTTGCCACAATTCAACCTCCCTCTTCCTCATCATTGGGTCGTACAGGTATCAGGTTCTCCATTTCTTTCCTGACAGTGGTGGTGTTTTAGTGGATTTCCCCAATGATACAATTCGTTACTCTTCGTCCTGCCGGAAGTACTACGATCTCAGGTCGTTTCCTTTTCCGGCGAACCACTATTTCGGGATATCGATGGATAATATTCTTGGTTTATATGGTTGTGGGGATTCTTCGTTGTGCAGGACGGATTGTGGTGGCTGCCGTGACGCGAACACCACCACCACCTTCATGAGTAGCGGTTGCTGTTACCCACTTTCTGATGATGGTGGTGGTGTTTGGAGCGTCGGCGATGGTTTCTCTGTGTTTCAGCAGTTTGGATGCAAGGGATTCTCTTGTTGGGTTGGTTCAGGTTCTAACAATGGTGATGATGTGAAACGTGGGATCAAGTTAGAATGGGCGATTCCGATTGATATGATCACTGGAGTCTGCGATTCCAATGCCCGAACGTTGAACGCGAGCTCCGTGATCTTCGGTATGAGGTGCCGATGCCTTGATGGGTTCGTCGGCGATGGATTCGCTAGGGGAATTGGTTGCTTGAAATGTGAGTTTCGATCAACGTTCGTTATGGGATAGATAAATATATCCCATTAACATTTATTATATTATTATTACCAAATATGACTAGTTTATTAGCTAGCTTATGAACTCATAATTAGTTTTTTTTAGCTTACTTTTATCGGCCAATCTAGCTTAGCAGTTAGTTTGTCAAGCGTTTACTTGTATTTACCCTAATCTTGTTGTCTTCCATATATAGCTTGCCTAAAGGATGGAGAGGAAGTTTATGGCGATGACTGCTACGTAAAGCGACATGGTCGGAGCAAACTCATGCTCGTTGGAGGTATGATCCTCATCCGCCATTGAAACTCGATGTGTTGTACAATGATTGATGAGCTTCGTCTTATCTTTATGTACAGGAAGTCTCGCTTTAGGCCTCTCGATCGTCACATTAGCCGCACTCTTCTGTTTGTTAAAACGACAGACAAAGCAAGGTACTGTCGATGCCGATCAGGCTCGCAGCCAAACCAGCGTTTGGTTTCATAAACGGCCTAGGACTCGTTTGTTTACTCATAGTGAGCTTGAAGACGCCACCAAGGGGTTCGGGGACGATCAAAAGCTTGTGAGCTTTGGTGATGGTGGTACACTTTATGCTGGAGTTCTTTCGGATGGACTCGAGGTGGCTGTACACAAAGTGGAGTGCCCAACCGAAAGAGACCTCATTCGGGTTCTATCACGAGTCAAGATTCTATCGGAAGTTTCCCACGCAAACATGGCTCAAATCCTCGGATGCTCCATCGACTCCGGCTACACCCCATTGGTCGTGTTTGAGTATCCGGGGAACGGTACACTCGAACAACATCTTAGTCAAATGGGCAACGATCAAAAAACAAGTCTCGAATGGCACAACAGATTATCGATTGCGGCAGAAGTATCGAGTGTACTAGCCTTCCTCCAGTGTGAAATATTTCCTCCGGTATTGCACCATTGTCTCCAATCGGGCTGCATCATGCTCGACTCGAACCTGTCCGTAAAACTCGTCGGGTTCGAGCTGTTGGGCGACGGCGGAGATGGGTGTGGGTCAGATGGTCCGTTCTCTACCAAAAACGACGTTTATGGTCTGGGTGTGCTGCTTCTAGAGATCATAGCAGGTGGCAGATCGGTGGACCTGGCTACAGTGGCTTTGCGGAAAATCAGAAACGGAAAGCTGGAAGAGGTGGTGGATCCGACGCTGTACTACCATGAACAACCAGGGTATCGGAAAGAGCAGATAGAGGTGGTGGCGGATGTTGCAACACGGTGTTTGTTGTTCGCGGGAGATGGAAGATTGGGGATAAACGATGTCACAAAAGAGCTTCTTCATGTGACCAAAGAAAGCATAGATCATGTAGGAAGTAGAAGGGGACCGGCCGGGCTTGAAGAAACCTTCTCGAATTCTAGTCTTCTGCAGATGATATCGTTATCACCGGACTCCATTTATGTACCATAATCAAGAATCTATCGATAAAGATTAAGTGTTTGATTCGAATAATGGGATTTCTAGTTTTAGAGTCCATTATTGTTGGATTTGCCTACAAAATTGGCATTCTAACTGAAAGCTCATTTCATCAATTCGAACAAACCTTACAAGATCTTCATGAATGTGAAGAAATTTGCAGTTTCGATCTTCTTACCTGTTGGCCTCGACTTTCTCGGCAGCCTCTGCGGCTGCGGCTGCTGCCTCATCTAAACCCATCTTCTGCAATTCCTTCAAGAACCCATCGACCTCGGTTGTATTGATTTTGTAAGGGCTGTGCAGCGCCCCTGGAAACGACCGGTTTTCAACTTCTTGTTTATAATCTGATAAAGCTTTGTTGATAACTTCTCCTACTTGAGCAAACTGCTTACAGAACTTTGGAGTAACCTGTAAAAATGGTGATTGAAGACTAATGAATGACCTTAATTATCTTTTAATAATTATAGTGACAAATAACTTGTCCCACATCTAGCGGAGCACGACAAAAATGCATTTCTTTTCTGTACCACCAAAATAGATGGAACAAGAATCAAGAAAATGCCACAAGATTGGTAAATTATTGAACTACTGTATCCACTTAAAACCTCAAAACTTTTCATAATTATTTCATCTGCCTATCTCACTGTCATCCGTTCAGTTCAGTTCTGTCGAGTCCCATCCACGTACCAAACACATAGGACAAAGGCGTTTATCAAAAAACTTGGGGTTGTTTGGTTGGTTTTCTATAAAGTTTGTATGGATAAAGTTGCCGATGTGGGATGTGGGATGAATAAGCTGAGAGTCCATGATGTTTATTAGGCTAATAAGATACAGACGGTTGGTTTTATGATACGAACCTTTGCGTGATGCGGATGCTGCATCATTCCCAAGAGATCATGGTAAACAAGGACCTACAATAACAATAAGAGACATAATTTAGCATTGTTTTTTCAACAAGCTTTATATGAATTAAGCTGTTTGTATGAATTAAAATCTCCGTATTGATTTAGATAACTCTTTGGAGTTAGAGACTATACACTTGCATCCCACCCCTAGGCCCTACTTTCGAGTAGGACATATCGGGTGTGTTTAGTTTGGTTTATTCTTAAGTTTTCTCAACAAAAGTAATTTGTCATGAAGAAAAGCTATGCGATTAAAAGGAGGGATTAAGGAATGATCAAACCTGCCCACTGCAAAAAGGGCCAGCCCCGATACCGATGGTGGGTATACGAAGAACAGAAGTTGCGGCTGCAGCCACAGGTGCAGGCACACATTCAAGAACAACAGAGAAACACCCAGCTTCCTGCAATGCTAGTGCTGTCTCCACAACCTACAGATGCAGTTTACAAGTATGAGAAAAAGGTACAGTTTGACTTTCGAAGTCAAACATAGACTGTTCTGGCTTCGAAATTGATATGGATTCTTTTATATTTGAGAAAATGTTCGACAACTTAGCTAAACTATTTCATAGATTCTACAAGTTGGAAAACTTTGGTTGCAATATTCAAAAACAACATATCAAATTTGGAATTTGAAAAGCCACTTGTTTGACTTCAAAAGTCAAGTTCTAAACTTTTGATGCCAAATCGTAGCCTACAAAACTGATATCGATCTACGTAGAGCATCCACAACGGTAACCTTTCCAGAAAATGGGACCCACAAGCTTAGGTGGCCAAGAAAAACAAGCTTATTAAGAGCTAAATGTGGTTTTTTTTGTCAGAAGCTTTTCCACTACCTTATATGGACAAAAAGCTCTTGAATAAAGTCTTCATACAGCTCCATTGCGGATGCTCTTAATCAGGACCAAATGTTTTTATAGGTCCAAAAAGTTGGTACAGTTAGACTTTTGAGGTCAAACTGCACAAGTCATTGGTTTGACCTCAAAAGTCGAACTGTACATCTTTTCTTTGGAACAAGGAGGAAGAGTGGTTTGGGGACCTTGACAGCACTGAGAACATTCCTCCCTTGAGGTCTAAATCCACCAAGAACGCTAATGGCTTGAGGGGTGAGGCCTACATGGCCCATAACCGCGATCCCAGCTTCAACGATGTGTTTTGCAGCTGAAATCCTGGATGGTGCACCCCCTTCCAACTTGATTGCATCCATTCCTCCTTCTTTCAATACCCTCACTGCTGTATCAACAGCCTGCTCATAACCAAAACTGTAATGTTATTTACTACAGTCTAACAGGGCGTAATCAATTTAAGAACCCCATATGTTGTGATACCTGTGAGAACTTTTACTTTAAGGTATTGTTTCACATTTATCCATGTCTTGATTAACATATATATATATATATATATATATATGTGTGTGTGTGTGTGTGTGTTTTACATGATCTTTTTCCTTGTTAGTATTTAATGTATTGAGTAACATATATTTGTTTCACAATGTGTTTGTTTCATATGTATTCGGATCACAATGTGAAACTCTTTTACGTGTATTTTTTGTTTCACATTATGAAACAAATACATGTGGAAAAAATCACATTGTGGACAAATATATGTTAATCAATATTCTAAATCCTAGCCTTAGATGAAAAAGGATCATAGAAATAGCACATGCGCATCGGTTCTCACGGTTCTCAAATAGCAAGAATCTAATTTTAAACAAAACTATCTCAGTATATCCCATGCGTTGCTCTTACGATATTCAAGAAAGAATACTATAACTTGCAGAAATAAACAATTTTGGATAACTTGTTGAAATTTAAAGGAATAAAAAACCATGAGTTTGACTTTTCTGGTTCAAATTTTTGATATTTGAAAACTAACCTTCAGACATGATTATTAAAGATTAAAACTTCGATTTCAACTCATTAGTATTTGACCCATCTGTTGGACCTCAAGAAAGGTTCTTGCAAACTGGATTCAAATGCTACAAGAACAAGATCACCATGAGTCATTGCTGTTTGACATTCTTGGTCAAATTTTAGAAGGGGTGAATCCCTTCTTTTTTATTAACTTGGATATCCAACCCGCTATGCAAGCCGACTAATCTCAGAGCGACCAACCGCTTTGCGGCTAGCCTGGAGTCACCGCATTTGAACCTCCGTGGTCATTAGGGGATTTTTATTACTTCCTATTCGAACCTAGGACCCCAAGGCACTTTTGACCTTTTCTTATCATGGTAATTGTAGTTTTGTTGCAAACTAACCATAACATTTGCTAAAATGCAAAAATGAGAATTAACACATTTAGGGGTTATTTACCAACCGCTAGTGCCTCGTCCCATGTAAGAGGCTTGCCACAGATCATAATGTTTATCAACAATCTTACTCGACGGTGACTATTACGCGCTTACCCAATAAGTGTTGGTAAACGGACCTTAATGTAAAACCGAATGACAATTGGGATGCGTAAATGGATGGTCGAAAAGCTAATTAAGTTAGGCTATGTTAGGTAAACTAGCTAACAAGCTAGTCGTTGGCTGATAGCTGAAAACCATAAAGTTATCTGATAGCTGATAGCTAATAAACTAGTTGATAAGCATGTTTTAAGCTGACGATAAGCCAGATAACAACGTAAAATATCTAAAAAAATATATCAAAAACCTAGTAGGAAAAAAAGCACCAGAGATGAGAGGGTACCTGTTGAGAGCTGGATTCATAGGTACCAAAAGCAAGATCCCCAACAAGCAATGGCCTTTTAGCTCCTCTAGCAACAGATCGACAATGCATCAACATCTCATCCAACGTGATCGGCAACGTCGTATCATGGCCGTGAACAACCATAGACGCAGAGTCTCCGACGAGTGCAATATCAATTCCAGCCGTATCTAAATGAACTGCCGACGGGTAATCGTAAGCAGTCACCATCGTTATCGCCTCCCCTTTCCTGTGCTTTGTGCGTAGACTTGTCAAAGTGACTCTTTGGTCAGGGTTTTGAGGTTTTGGGCCTCCGTAGACGGTGTTTTCTGGCACGTTGCTCATAGACCTTACATAGGTGGAGATTTTGAAATGGCGGTTTGTGATGGTGGCGCATGCTTTTGAAAACCTATTGCAGAGTGCCGCCATGGTTGATCGGATTAAAGAAAATTATGCACAAATCGTTGAATTCCGGAATGGGTATTTGGGTTTGATTGGAGAAAAATCCAAATGAGATTGGAATTGAAATCGAGGAACCCACATACATAAGAGATAACCAGGGTAGGGAAGTATATAGGTGGCTGACTGCCGATTGATGAAAGCTGTTGGGCGGCGGCGCCATTTTAACGTGATTAAAATTAGGTGTGCGGTTTATAAGATGGTAATCGGTTTGAATTTGAAAAATGGAAGTCTTAAAAAAATGAAGTTTCATATTTTGTAATAAACTCCAAAGAATAAGGACCATTTATGTAATAAACTTCAGAGTATAGGGACCAAATACATAACTTATTTTTAAAGATAAATATGAAATTACGTAATTATCTTGTGAGTTTATTATTTAATTATTTTGAGAGCAATCTTCTACGATGCAATTGACTGTACATCTCTTCCTGCGTTACTCTCTTCCATTCCTACCAACTTCTCCCCGCAAACAACTCCTCTACTTCCACTCCCTCCGCAGATCGATTTCGGCCGCCACCGCCACCATGGTCGCAAACGCCGGTAATTCATCGCTGCTGGAACACGTCGCTGGAGCGTGGTACTCCGTCCCGGAACTCCGTCTTCGCGACCATCGCTTCACTGTCCCACTCGATTATTCTCTATCTGAATCCCCTAAGATCTCCGTTTTTGCTCGGGAGGTCGTTGCCGGTAAATCATGCACTTTAACTTTCATTCAGGAGTTATTTTGTATAGAATATGAACTCTAATTACCACCCACTATGTGTTGAAAATGCTTTTTGTGTTAAAGTGTAATTGAAATAGTATAAATCTGGAATTAAGAAAATACTAGTTTCCATTGTGCTTATGTGAATTTTAATTGCAAATGTATTGACGCCATTTGAAAATTTTCTACCTTTTGGAATGGAATTCTATGTAAATTCTAAAATAAAATTTTAACTTCTTTTGGTTGATTTCAAAGTATATTTCAGTTTTTCTGGTTGATCTAGATTTTTGAGTATTTTTTCGGTTGATGTCGCTTGTATTTTCTAAATTTCAGAGCACCCCTCAACTTGTTCACCGTTCATACCCAAAAACCGGTACTTGTGAAAATTTGTTGAGAGGGTGCATGGGGCCTGGCTTCCATAGGTCTTCCCCTGGATGTGGAGGTAGATAATGATGTACTTTAGGGATGTAAGAAAAGGAGTCAACCATCCTTCTTCGTGATCTACTACTCATATTGACTGAAAAATAACAAAATTCTAGCAACAAACTTGTACGGGTGTAGGCAAACTAGTTGAACCATGGAAATACCGCCTTCGCAATATTTTGTTTCCTATGATTTACTAGTGTGTGTAGTCGTTGATCCTGCTCACAAGATTGAGTTGGGTTGCTTAATGAGAGTTGACATCCACTGAGTAGAACTGTTGAAGGCAAATTGATTTGCACTGTATGCCAATTGTTATAACTTCTGGCTTTAGCTTTTGATCTTAACTGATGAAGATGATGTGGTGCAGTTGGAAAGGAAGATCAATCTCTACCATACCTGTTATTCTTACAGGGTGGACCAGGTTTTGAGTCACCAAGGCCAACTGAAGCAAGCGGGTGGTTGAGTAAAGCATGTGAAGAACATCGTGTTATTCTAATGGATCAGGCATGTTCGTTTCTTACCGTCGTTATGATCTTTTCTTATACTAGGCATTACTATATATGTGGATCTCCATGGCATCTTCTGATGTGTGAAAATGCAGCGAGGAACAGGGTTGTCAACTCCTCTAACAACATCATCTATGCTACAAACGAAGTCTGCACAAGATTTGGTTGACTACTTGAAATATTTCCGGGCAGATAACATAGTGAATGATGCCGAATTTATACGAAAACATCTTGTTTCTGATGCTGGTCCTTGGAAGGTCTTGGGTCAGGTATGAAAACTATTCTTGTCTGTAGCTGTTCGCATTTTCTTTATGTTTATCAAGAGGAAGTTGCTGCTTTTATGCTTATGCCATGTGTGTTCTTACTAAATGTTTACTATAGTCACAGCTTCTCTTTCCTGTGTAGAGTTTTGGTGGTTTTTGCGGAGTGACCTATCTGAGTTTTGCACCAGAAGGGCTGAAAGAAGTCTATTTGACTGGTGGAATTCCTCCAATTGGAGATGGATGCACCGCAGAGGCTGTGTATAAAGCTTGCATTGGTCCTTTGGTTCTCCAAAATGAGAAATACTACAAGAGATACCCACAGGATATTGAGATCATTCGTGATGTTGTAAACCACTTGGCAGAGTCTGAAGGAGGAGGGGTGAGGGAATTTTATAGACATTGCTGAATGTAGGTTGTTTGAAACATAACTAATCCTCTCTATCACTCACTCTGTGTTTTGTGCATGCTATAGGTTCCTCTTCCATCTGGTGGGATATTAACCCCCAGGGGGCTACAACTCCTTGGCCTTACTGGCTTAGGGGCCAGCACAGGTTTCGAGCGCTTGCACTACTTGTATATCATCGTTCACTCTCTCCTTTTCATATATACTCCATCTGTGCCAAAATAAATGGAGCATTCGACTCTGACATATATTTTAGCGAGAGTGCTGGACTTTTAATCAAATATCTACTATGTCCCTCAATAGAGAAAATATTGGGGTTGTTTTGCACAATGCAAAAGAATAATGTTGCATTTATTTTGGATAGAGGGTGTACATCTCTATATGTTTTTGTATGAAGTGATTGTTGTTTTGTACTTTGTATAGGTTTGAGAGAGTATGGGATCCGGTGATAGTTCCTGGAGCAAAGAAGCAAATCAGCTATTACTTCTTGAATGCCGTAAGAGCATTTTTTTTCTTTCTATCTCTCTGTATTCTCATGTGTTTAATGACAAAAACGTCTTTGGGAAAACCTTAAGATTGCTTTTTAAATATACTTAAAGCTCATGTGAGCAGACAGACGGATCTTCTTCAATATTTATAAGATTGTGAAGTTCTGGAAGTGTTAGGATTGCTCAAAGTCTATATGTTGTTGAATTTTAAACCCTTATCTCTGTCTGATGTCTTTTATATTTGTAAATATTGGTTTGCTGACGTATCTTACAAAATGCAGTTTGAGAAGTGGCTATCTTTTGATACAAATCCATTATATGCTCTTATGCATGAGTCCATATATTGTCAGGTAATGAACTGGGTTCATCATGACTTGGGTGGAGAAAAGAAATAAATTCCTAGTTGTTCCATTGTGTAGTTCTAATCTTTGGTTGAGTTTTACTTGTTTCGTCAATTGATTGTAACTTGAAGGGAGCTGCATCACGATGGGCTGCTAACAGAGTGAGGACGGAACATGAAAGCAAACTTGATGCAGTAAAGGCTGCCAAAGAAGGCCGGCCTGTTTTGCTCACAGGAGAGGTAAGAAAGACAAAAGCATATGCATATGCATATGCATGTGTAAAAATGGCAGCCCCTGTCTCGAAACAGATGCAATGATTGACTTGGCTTTGTACATAGTTCAATAAAATTTATTATCAGTATCAGTGATATCAATATTTGGCAAATTTTACTAATGTGCAAAAAAGGTAATTTTTTGGATTGAAACTCGGTAAATGCTGCAACTATTGTGGCATGCCCTGATGAAGACATTGTCGCATTTAATTTGGGAGGTATAACAACTAAGTTTTGTTGTTGAGTGAAGCATTAAGCCTATGATGTAATTGTTGTTCAACGGATGGAGGTATGATGTTGAACAGTAATGCTTGCTCTTGAAAGTTTATTTGACTTCAAGTAGAACTTATTGCAACATAGTTGACGTCAGAAGCCATATGGACATTGTATTTTTGTTCTATGATTTGTAGCCTTAATTTATCTGATTATGCAGATGGTGTTCCCATGGATGTTTGATGAAATCCATGCATTGAGGCCATTTAAGGAAGCTGCTAATTTGTTGGCTGAGAAGAAGGATTGGCCTCCTCTATATAACAAAACAACACTGAATAATAACAAGGTATGCTTCTTCTATACTCTAATGTCCATAAAAAGTACTACGGAAATGCTTTTTATCGTGCTATATGTGTGTGCATATATATATATATATATATTACTTCACAAAAGTAGAGACTTCGTAGGATCATGGCTTGTGAAGCTTGGAAAGCTCAAGCTTGAGTTTGGCTCGCCAAAATCTTGAGCTTGGGTAGGCATGTTAGGATCATATAAGCATGAGTTTTCGCTTGGCATGTATGGGTTGATAAGCTTGTATAAAATCATAATTAGACCCTTTAAATAAATTAACATTGCACCCTCTTTATAGAACATCAGTTAATTAAAAAAATTATAATTTACAGTGATCGGTTGTATAGGCTTAGGCTTTCCAAGAGCCCAAGCTAAACTAGGCTCGAGCTCACCTCAGATTCTCAAATAAGGCAACTCAGTTTGGGCTTACCAAGCCAGCTTACTAGCTATCACGAGCCGGTTTTTCTTGCCTATACCCCTACGTATACATTATGCATATATGATCATCGCCAAAACAACCCATGGAGTGTGTTTGGTACGAGGGACATAACAAAACAACACTTATTATCCCACTCCCGTGTTTGGCTTGACATTAGACCGGGACAGGACGAGACTAAGCGGACAAAACTGCAACTTTTTTGTCCCACCAAAATAGGTGGAACAAAAATTAGGAAAATAGGATAAGATTGGTAAATTACCGAACTACCCATGTGAAATTAAAATCCCTAAAACCTTCCGCAGTCCGTCTGCGTACCAAACACACCCTTAAAAGTGAAATGCCAAAAGCATATGCTGAATGGGTGTCTCAATCCATCGTCTGCCTTCTCTTGTCTTTTTAACCTTTTGTGTTTTTCATCTGATGCAATGTTGAAATCTGGATAGGTACCCGTTGCGGCTGCAGTTTATTATGAAGATATGTTCGTTAATTTCAACTTGGCAACGGAGACGGCTGCACAGATAGCAGGCATCAGGCTGTGGGTAACCAACGAGTACATGCACTCTGGTCTCCGAGATGGTGCAGGCCATGTTTTGGATCATTTGATGCGCCTCTTAAACGGCAAGAAGCCACTTTTTTGAAATCCGACATCTTTACCTGTTTATGTTCCTAGACGTTAGAAGATAGTTCTCAACTCTCAAAATGGACCAAATATTTTGCAATTGAATTTGAGGATATTTATTGTACCAACCCAATTCAAACCGTATTAGTTGGGTTGAAACTTTGGTATATGTATTTTATAATCTAGAAGAGTGTTTCTGTTTAAACCAAGTAAAATCAAATTGAGAACATATAAAAAAGACTAACAAATTCAAAAAAAAAAAAAAATTGAATGTTCATGCAAATAAAAAAAATTACGATTGAAATTGTAATAAATTTTTGAATATAGTTAATTACGGGTTGGTCTAATGTTTAATTTAAATATATTAATCAAAGATTTAATAATCGTATTAAATTCACAGATAAAATTGTGTGGTTCATTGGGTTACGGGTTGGTCTATAGTGTTTAATTCATTTTTAAGATCCTCATTTTTCATCTAATTTTTAAAGCAACATATATTTATTTTAAAAATAAAGGCCGATTCAATTTGAATAAATATATTTTATTCCTAAATTGACACGATTGATTTTTTTTCCTGGATCAAACTGCGTTAACTTTCTTCCAGGTCAAACTGTGATTTTATGGACATTTTATTCATCTTTAAAGATGCATCCACTCCGATAAATTCTTGAGTCCACTACTCTTAACAAGTATATTAGTTGCAAAGTAGAAGTTTTTAGGAAAAAATCTAAAAAAAACCCAATTGATATTCTTTAGTGTTTGGAATGATTAAGTTTTTGGATAATTTTTAAGAAATAAATAAGTTCTTGGACATTACAAAACCTGTTAAATAACTCCTTGGACATTCTAAAATTTGATAGATACATTCTTATGACTTATAAAACTGGTTAATGTGGTAAAATAATGGAAAAAAACTGAAAAAAGCCAATGACCTTTCATATTTTGAACGATTAAGTCCTTAGACATTTTTGAACCAAAAAGTGCTTACATCTATAAAATGAAAAAATTATACTAAAAAAATACTTACATTTACAAAAAAAATACTTACATTTAAAAAAGATTATTAATGAAATTTATTTTAATTAAAAATAAAAAATTATTTTGTCAATAATTTTCCAAATTAATTTTTTTTAAAGATTATTGATGAAATTTATTTTAATTAAAAATAAAATATATTTTATTGGTGATTTTCCAAATAAAAAAAATAGAAAATAATTTGATTAAATTACTGACGGATTAATGATAAAATTTAACTAAATACATAATTATTTAAAATTCGTTGCTAGTGTTCATTGGTGTATATGCATAGATTACTTATATTTATAGTAACATGTTAATAAGAGTGAAAGATCATGCTTGAATCTTGTCGGTGATATCATTTCTCCGACGGACAAGGAATGAATTTTAATTAATTATGTATTTAGTTAAATTCTATCGTTAATGTGTCAGTAATTTAATCTAATTATTTTCTATTTTTTAATTTAAAAAATCACCAACGGAATATATTTTATTTTTAGATAAACAAATTTCATCAGCAATCTTTAGAAAAATTAATTTGAAAAATCACATACGAAACATATTTTATATTTAATTAAAATAAATTTAATCAATAATCTTTTTGAGTCCTTTTCTAATTTTTTAAATCACTGACAAAATATATTTTATTTTTAATTAAAATAAATTTCATAGCAATTTTTTTTAAATGTAAGTACTTTTTTGTAAATGTAAATATTTTTTGGTATGTTTTTTTTTCATTTTATAGATGTAAGTACTTTCTTTGGTTCAAAAAATGTTTGGAACTTGATCGTTCAATATAAAGGTCCATTTGACTTTTTTGCCCAAATTTTTTTCATTATTTTACTAGATTAACCAGGTATATAGGTCATAAGAATGTATCTAACAAGTTTAAAAAAGTCAAAAAAATTATTTAACAGATTTTGGAATGTCCAATGATTTATTTGTTTCAAAAACTTGATCATTCCAAACACTAAAGTCCATTGGATTTTTTTACAGTTTTTTCAAGTTTTTATTCTTAATTCTTTTACTAAATTAATATATTAAGTATGAATGCTGGTTTTTTGTTCGCTTTCATGCTCGGTTTTGGTTGTTTCTGGTGGTGGTCAAAATGAAATGCTTCCTTATGAGGTTTTAGTTTGTGTTTTTATGGTGGACGGTATCTTGTTTTGTCCTTGCCTTTGTTTTTAAGTATATGGTTGTTCCTCTAGTATATTTATTATTAGGACACTTACGTAATGTAGCAAGGGACATCTCCGATTTTATTGTTTCATTTTATTCTATCTATGTCGATGTAATACAGTTTTAAGTGGTTTTGAGAAATCGACAATGTATTTATATTGAATAAAATATAAATTTGAAGATATTATAAAAATTTGAAAAAATATATACATCGATATTAATATCAAATTGACTATTTAAATTTGAAGATATTATAAAAAATTGACAAAAATATATCGATATTAGTATCAAATTAACTATTTGAAATTCCTCATTTTTTTGTGTAATTTTTTAATTTATTTTTTTATAATTTAATTTATGTACAATAACGAAATAATTTATATTTGGTTTAATAATATATTTATTTTT